CCATTTTTAAAGATCGGCGGTTCCATGTGGGCTTCTCGTTTCCGGCTAGGGCGTTGACGCTGTACTTGGCGCAAAAGAAGGATGGCAAGGGAGCCAAGTGGCTGGAGGAAGACGAGAATTTGGATTCTCTTTTACTAGGAGAAGTGGACGAGCAGTACGTGAGAATGCGTTCGACGTGGGCTCTCGATGAGGTCTACTTTGGGGCAAACTTTCAGCCAGGACGCAAAGAGATTCACGTGCTGGTAAAACTCCCGGAAACTCAGCAAACTGCGGTGTCGCACTTGATGCCGCCAGTGGACCAAGGGTGGACAGCGAGATGGTTGAGCGAGTTTTACACAAGCCAAATAGCACCGCATAGTCTACCACTTGTGGGGGAGCTGGCAGAATTCATCGCACAGGGGCTACCAGAGAAGATCAGTCTTCATGAGCGAATTCGAGACAACTGGATGACCAAAATGAAGATCCCATCTGCTGAGTTAATGAAAAAGATATTTCGAGTCTCAAACTCGGAGCCCTGTGTGGAGTTCTTGAACCAGATTGGATATCGTGTGGTTCACACTGTGGATCCTGGCGACACAAAGACTTCATTCATCTCGCTCTGGGACGACTTGATCCGCCGTGTTTTGGACTTTGTCGGTATCGGAAAGAGCGATCGGAATTCAAGTCGATCGGCGTCAATAGGACCAACTTGTCCGGACTACCTATTATTGTAGATTCTGTGTGCGTCTTTCGTGGTAGGGAAAAGGCCCCTGGGGAACAGATGAAGACTCCACGACGCGAATTGTTTGAAAAGCTTGTTTGGAGCTACGGTGACGCTCCATATTTGTTCGGGTACGCAGCCGTTGGCTACGAATCCAGATTGTATGCTATCACTCGTGTGCACGACGCTGTGGACGCAATTGAGTTGGGCGAATATGATCTTAACCAGTTGGAAGGTCGTTTGCGTTTGTTGCTAGCAATTCTGAACATCGCGCGGTTATTGCGGAGCCTTGCGAGTTTGTGCCCAGACAGCGCCCGAGGTGAATACAGGAAGATGACTCGAGATCAAGGGATCAGGATATTCCTCGAGCCCTCCTGCGTTGTCAAGTGCTTCCCAGCAGCGTTATTTCAACGAGCAAAGGACCATGCTGTAGCTGTTTATAAGGTGTTGGAAGAGCACGCCATCCCGAACGTTGATCGTCTGGATCATGTAGACCAGAAAACAATGCGATTAGTATATAAGCCACGTGGTCAAGAAACTAGACCAGCAAATCTTGTCGAGTTATTTCACGCGCTAACAAATGTGCTGCAAGCATTGGTGAGACTGCATGCAGCTTCGTGGATGCATCGAGATATTCGATGGCCGAATGTTATGAAAAATCGCGATGGCCACAAGTCGTGGTTTCTGATCGATTTCATGGACGCAGTGCAAAGTCCACAGCTTTCGCCAAGTGGTCACCACCTGAGTCGAGACGAGCACGCCCCCGAGATGGCCAGCGATGGTGGTCACACCACTGCTGTGGACGTATGGTCTGTTGGGCGGTTGATCCAAACATGCGGTGAAGTCCACGGAAGTTGGTATGATACAGGGAGAGAGAGGACACAGTTGTTAGAGCTGTTGATGCATCGCGATCCGTCGAGAAGACCCACTGCAGCTTCTGCACTTGATCGACTTCGTCAGCTTGAGCAAGAATTCTTGAAACGGCAGAAACGAAATGGACCCAACAAAAAGCAGAGGCGAAACTAGCTCGATAAGAGAAGAATAGCCGTGCGTTCTATTATAGCGCCCGGATGAGCTCTGAAATTTTATTTTTTTATTCAAAATTATGAAGTTTGATGCATAGGATTACTGCAACTTGCGTCGGCTCCTTCCTGTACCTGCGTATCAGATAGTACAGCGTAATTCTGATTCGGCAACCGGTTGCTGGTCTTTGCTGAATTATCCTTCTTCCGAAGTACTTGGTAAATTCTCGTGGCACCTTGGCTTTTTATCTGGAAATACTGTGTATCGTAAGCTTTTGCAACGACAATATCGACAGTAGGCAATGTGCTAGAACTGATTTATTATTAGATGCATGTGTTTAATTTTAGCTATAATTTCCCTATTGCTATAATTACGATGCACTTGTTAGCTTCTTAGGTGATCCGAAGGTCGAGCCAGCGTAAGGCAGTGAGTCACAGGCAACATTACTCGCCTAGTTGATAACTTTTTCGTTTTGATAAACGATACCAGTGAGCTTTATCGTCGAACCCTCTAAAAGTCTACAAATCGAAGCTGTGATATGAGAGGAATCAATCCAAGTCCAAAATTTTTAATAGTTTCTAATATGTCTTTGGGGTATATTTCTTAAGAAGGTTTGATGAACACGTATTTTGAGATTATGCAATTGCATTGAGTAAATGTACACAATTTATTAGGCTGGTTGGTCGTTTGGTCTGTGGTTGTTTCACAACTCACACCGTCAAAGTTTCGGGAATTGCTTCATAGCTCACTCCCGTCGACGTTTCGGTGCCAACAAATTGGCGTCCCGATGCCAATTGTATTTGGTCGATACGAAAATGTGGAATAAAAATTGATTTTGTATCTCAGGAATCCTTATTATGACAATACATACAGTAGGTACCGAGCTACAAAGCCCATCTTCGCTCCGGAGCACCGCAAAGCAGGGCCCACAGCAACACAGAGGAAAAATTGTACAAGACGATCTGTTGTCTACAGAAACCTACCGTTTTTGTGGTAATATTGTCAAGTGGGTCTAGTACTGTGCTGTAGTATTATATTTCACTGAAGTAATTTATTAATTACATGTAGTGTTGAAAAAGCCAACACAAATGCATGTAACGTTAAATTGGATACTGCCTGGATAACAAGGTGGCTTCAGCCGAAAGCGTCGCAGATAGGCAGGTATTAAGCAATAACGATACTTGCATGCAGCTTGTATTGACAGTGATGTCCGATAATAAACAAGATCAAATAGCTTAAGCTCTACGATCAGTGCAACGTCGGGCGGAGGCGGTTCTTCGTTCGACGCCTGTCCGTTGTGATGATGATATGTGCAAAAATGCCAAGAGTACATCCATGCTATCGTTTTCTCTGGTCGCGAGGCGCTCGTGACTTGCTTGATTACATGGGGAAATGCTCTCTTACACGTAGTTGACCGGGATCATGTGCGGACGGTTGAGGAATGGGGACGAGCAGGCGGGTCGAGGTGATTCAATCTTACACTGCTGTAGCTGCTGACGTTGCTTCTTGGCCTCTTTCCGCTCAGCAATGTCCTCCACAAATGTCCTCCTGCGCGAGGAGTTGATGATGTTGGCTTCCCGCGAGAATCGCAGGATCATGCCCTCGCTCACACCGGCACTCTGTAGCAATCGCACGCGCTCCTTTGACGTGAACCGGTGCACACCCTCGACACACTCGGCCATCTCGCCTACCTTCGTGGTCCATGTGAACTCGGGTTTGTCGCTCAGACCGATGGATGGGCCGCCCTTGCCAGGCACCGAGCTGCCACCCAGTCCGACGCCGAACTCGTGGACGGTGATGGTTGACCAGCGTAGACGCTTCTTCATCTTCCTAGGCGAGGCTTCGCGGTCGTTGGTGACGGACGAGCTGCGTTGGCGCTTCCTACGACGCTCGGGTGAGGTAGGTGCAGAGGAGGAGATGGCTTCATTTGGCGTTGAGCTCTTGGGTGCTGTAGAGAGCTCTGAGAGCTGCTGGTTGATGGGGACGTCCGCCCCTTCGTATATGTCGGCTACGTGCTTCGGTGCCATGGTTTCGATGCAGGGAGGAGAGCGTTGAAGAGGAGGGGCGCACTGCGGCGTGTTGTGCTTCGCTTCTTTGGTGGTCGGTCCGCTCTTTGAGTTGTGCGGCGTCTCTGGCTGTTTTGATGTTTTGGGATGTGACCTGTATCTGGTGTACACATTAGCGGACAGTGGCCAGACATGTCCCGTCTGTGGGCAATTGTTGGAAGCTCGTTCACCGAGTGGATCGCTCCCTAGTCGCGTCCGCCCTGCTGCCACCTACATGTTTCAGCGCACCGACCTGCTATTAGTGCAGCTACCGGTATCACCTTGCAGCTGTGCAAGATTTTCTCTCAAACCTACTAGAGCTTAGCATATTTGAGCTGCGATGGCCATCTCTGGTGATGGCGTTCACGCGAACTCGCCAGCAACACGAATAATATGTAGTGTACTGTACACGGTACATGGTACCGGTTCAAATTCGCTGGTCGTGTTCAGGCCGTTAAAGTCCAGCGTTTCTGCCGCACCAAGTGCTGCGCTGCTGACTTTGCTGCACATTGGGACAGCTACCAGAGCAAGATAGCACAGCCCTACGTCTAGGCATCTTCGGGGGTGCGTTTCCTTCTACAGTGTATCACACAGAGTTGATTGGCTCGCCGCCAAGCGAACTGTCTTTTCGGGCTCCGATCGTAAGATCGGCGAGATGAAGCCCAGTGTAACACGGTGTGCTACCGGCGACGTTCGCTACACGCCTTTCGGGCGGTTAATTACACATGAGCTAGCATTACATCGCTATCGTCCACTGCATTAATGAGTCATGTTACTTGGTTAGTTGTCTTAGTCGAACCTATCAAGTGTATGAGGTCAGCGAAGGTATGCAAAACTTCACCTATTTTTATTATTTAAAAGTGCATGGGGTCAGCAAAGGTTTTCAACGAATACTCTCAACATGCAGTGCAAGCCAGAGCAACCGAAAGCAGCGTACGTGCGACTCGCACGGTGCGGGCTCAGAGACTTTGCCGACGACAGCAGACGAGCTGACGTCGCACATTGTGTTGTGGTCATCTATCACCGGCACTAATGAAAATGCTCTGATCCACTAGCTCTGGTGTACGTAGTCAATCGTAAAGTATGCGATCTTGAAGAGTGTCACTACAAACTACCAACACTACTACGTAGTAGATTACCTATCGTTGAGACGAACTGAATAATGGGAAGGAGGTTATGTCCATTATCTATGTAACTACATGTTGCCCTACCTTATTTGCCCCTGTCCACAATCAGGCTGGACCCAGCAACGAGGCATTCAAATCCTCCTTACGAAGACCAACCGGACGGTCTTTCAACTTCACGTACCATTTCAAGTAGATGAGAGGCAGTGTGACCGCTAGAATGGCTACTAGCACGAGACTTTGAGTCCAGGCTTTTGATACAGCGCTAACCGCAAGAATGTACAGCGCCAGCTGAGCCACAACGATCAGCCCAGTACACGCCAGATCGGTATGGTTCTCTGAATCAATGTCAGAAATCATTTCGTGCGTGAAGCAGATGTGCTTGATCTTGTGCCAAGCGCCGGGAGGTCGAGCAAAACGGTAGAATCGTCGAAGCACCTTGTCCGACTCGGGTCGTGTCAATAGACAGACAACAATGGAGATGCCTCCGGAGATCGACGAAGTGATCACGAAGGCTCGGAACTCCTCGAGCAGCGGCGCAAAGCTGTCCACCACGTTGTACAAGCGACACCCCACGCGTTAGTTGCCAAATAGTACACTTTTAATCACGAATACTAACGTACATGAACACGGCGATCGCAGCGAAATACCCGGATGCAATTCCGAGTAGGCAACTATACGCGTTGAAGCGAGCCCAGTACCACGAGAAGAAGAAGGGCCAAATGAGGCCACCCGCCATCGCGATTGTCATGAAGCCCCAGATCCGGTTGATGGTGCTCACATCCAATGAAAGGAAGAGGCCAGCAAGCATAACAAAAGCCGACGAGAGGCGCGCGTGCCACAGCAACTGCCGTTCAGTTGCTTTCGGGTTGATCAGAGCCTGGTAGATATCCACGGTCCAATACGAAGACGAGCTGTTGATAGTCGTGTCGAAGGTAGTAAGCGCTGCAGCCAGAAGTGAAGCCAAGACGAACCCCTTTGTACCGACGGGTAACACCTTGTTTATCACAATAGGCACCACACGCTCTGGGTCCACCACAACACCGACATGTTGCGTGGAATAGTGGATCCCCATTACAGCAATACCAGCGCTAAAAGCCCAGCGCAGACTCAAGAAAAGCATCGCCAAGAATGTCTGCGACCGAACTTCACGCTCGGATTTGGTTGCAAGCACAGTTTGAAGCCCCGATCCTCCAGGTCCGGATGCCGAGCGCATCATTTGTAGCAATGAATACGAGACCAATATGAGACCGAAGGAGTTGTACATGGAGTACGAGGCCTCACTCGGCAATCCCAAGGAGCTTGGGGGCACAGCAGAGACCCAGTCGCTTCGCGTGGTGTTCACCTCGATGTACTCCGGTTCATCACGCATCGATCGGCCCGGCAAAAATACCGAGAAATGGTCTGGCAGTTGCACCATGAAGCCCATAATCGCGACAATAATGAACGACGTGAAGATGAAGAGACTCTGGTACACGTCAGTGTACACGACAGTGGAGAAACCAGATGCAATGGTGTACAGCATCGCCACTGCCATTAACAAGGCTGCCGCCCAGAACTCAGACGGTAGCCCTCCCCACTCTGGTAGCTTCACAAACTCCGTGAAGAATTTTCCTAATGTCACCGCAACACACGATCGTTATATGCTTATAACCGTCTCACTACCAGCAACCAAACTCACCCCCACCCACTGCAAAGTACGTTGTTGCAAGAACACCGCTCGTCAGGGACGTAATAGCAATGGTAGTGCGTAGTAGGACAGCATCAAGGCGGGTTCCGAACCTAAATTTGATCCTGTATCACAACCCACGAAAGAAATGTTAAGCGAGGACGTCACACTGAAAGCAGCTTATAACCAACACACCATTCTCCTCTCGTTTTGACTGGACACCGACGTGATAGCTTGCCGGTGTAGGCCAGCTGGAAGGCCAAGAACAGACACAGACCGCCACGGATCTCAATGTACATGCCCTTTACACCCAGCGCGTAAACTAGCGCCGTGTTGATCATGGTGCCCGATATGTCGATGTAGGAGCTCACATCGGCCACGGCCAGCGCGTACCACGGGATGCGTCTTCCTCCAAGGTAGTATTCCTCTAGTGCATCGCCGTTCTTGGCTGACTTGGAGCTGTGAGTGGCGTCGAGGCGTTCGGGGTCTCTGGCCCCGGCGTTCAGCAGTGCTTGGTGGTGCAGACGCGTCAGGCGATTTCTCTCACGCTCACGTTGCTCGCGCAAGGTGAAGAAGAGACCCACGAGTAGCACGGAGGCCAGGTATCCGCCGCAGAGCGCCAGGTCTAATGTTCCCAGCTCCACGATTTGGCCCATGCTGCCGGTATCTTATAAAAATGTAGGGGGGCGCTTGGGCGTGGTACAGTGTGCCGTTTTGGAAGATTACGGCCTCTAAATGCTTAGTCCGTAAGATGGACTTGAAGTTAGGAAATTGCAAATTGCAGCTATCATTCGGGAAGAGAAACACACACAAAAATTACCAGAAGGTAAAACCACATACAGTACTGTATTACACTTTTTTTAATCGCTCATCATAAGAAATGGTCACAGTAGCTCACTTTTCACGAGGTACAGGTTGACGGGATCATTGTGATATACAGCATGCAAAAGCCGCTAACGTAGTGAGCTCTCGTGACGATCGAATCGATAAATTACAGGTCTTTGCGGGAAATGTGTGTAAGAAACGCAGCCTGTCATGATTTTTGAAGAAAAAATAAGATTTCGCAAGGCATCCTCCTTTGCGATTTTTTTTTACCTCTTTTTTGACGCTACGTATCCCTTCATACTTTGTTAATAGCAAAGCAAAATTCACAGCATTCAAATGCCAAACGAAAGAGCACTACCCTTTATCGCATGAACAATTTTTACACGTACGGGTGCAGCTGATCAGGGAGATGATTTGTGCGTTGGATTACGTCTATTACTCCTTCCGGTCATTGAGCTTGATGACCGTAAAGCCTGCAGCAGAGCACTAAGTGGCTCTCGAGCATTAACAGCTACAAACTGTGGTGAAGCGTGCAACTTGAATAACAAGCGTGCCTTAGGTACATCATGGGTACGCATCGAAAACCATGCGACGTGTGCAATACTAGCGTTTGTAAGTGGACGGAGGGATCGAAGATGAGCGCCGACAAAAAGTCGTCGAGAACAGTCCACAAATTTTGGAGATGATTATTTCATGTAAATGCTTGGACTGCGTCAATGGAGCCTCCTCTGCCATCAGCATTCAAAGAAATTTACGCCGTTAAACCGAATGAAAAATAGTAAGTGAATGATTAAGTGCTCGCTCTGCTTACAAGAATCCTCTTCATCTACCAAATACGTCTGCACTGTTCTCACGATTGTTTCCATCGCATGTCATGTACAGTTCGTAACCACCATCGTGGCCGAGATGGCCCTCGTGTGTGTGACCATCATGGCACCATGTGGGAAATGTTTGAAGCCGTTTCGGAGTGCAGAATAAAGGGTGGACAATGTCTGAGCTCACGCTACTGCGGCATGTCAGCGATCAAGTTTTATCCAGCGTGTGGATTCCAGACAGGCAAAAGGCCTAGCGCTACGGCATGAGGTGAGTTCCGAGCATAGCATCAAGTGTGGACCACATCCCGCAGCGGTGGTACGAGCAGGCGAAAGTCTCAGTTTGGTGTCGCATTTGCCTGCTTCGGTGCCTCCAGTGAACGATCGCAGCGAAGACGCATCGAACGAAGCTTCGCACCATTGCATTGGAGCACCGGATGGTTACCGGCAAGGGTGGACGAGGGCGGAGACCGGACTACATGTACAACTTCAGGAGGGGCCTGCATGGCGCTAATTTTTTAGCGACATGGCACTGTCTGTCACGCAGTGCTCCCTCTTCTTCCCTTGGCACTGGTACTTATCTTGTTGGCTGGCCATTCATGTACAGTGTTCAAACGCTGCGAGATTGTTGCAGTATTGCGTTTTAATATTTATATCCATTCGTGAGCTTGCGTTCTGCTTCGAGACACGACAAAGAATTTAACAAATTTATTGCATCAATTAATTGAATAAAAAAGGTGGGGGCAAGAGTTCGCCGCCCTGTGGAGCGCGAGCACCTGCACTTCTACATGCTGTCCTTGCTCTCCTGTGCAATCTACTTGTGACTTCCTCTCTTAGGTAAAGCTACAGTCATTCAGCTGGCAGAGCGCCAGCATCGAATCCCAATTCGAATATACGTCGTCTCGAATAATTTAAAGTCCTTGTAAACCGTCAAAATATGCTGCCGATGAAGGCAGGTACACGAGAAGAATCCAAACGCAAACCGATGCAGCTACACGTAGTTGACCGGGATCATGCGAGGTCTCCGCAAATAGACAGCACATGGATGGTCTAGTGTAGCCTGATCAGCGCTGCGCTTGCGGGGCATTTCCTTGAGCTGTTCCTCCTCCTCCTCAGCTTCGTCCACGTCACTGTCTTCCCAGCTTGTCTTCGACCGGCGACGCGAACCCAAAATGATGTTGGTCTCTCGGGCGTGACGCGTGATGATGCCATCCGGAATGCCGGCGGCCTGCAGTAGGCGGATGCGCTGGCTAGGCGAGAAACGATGCACACCCTCGACGCGCTCAGCCATCTCACCTACCCGTGTTGTCCACGTAAACTCGGGCGGATCCGCGAGACCGATGGAAGGGCCGCCCTTGTTCGATACGGCACTGCCACCGAGCCCCACGCCGAACTCGTGCACGGTGATAGTAGACCACCTCACGCACTTCTTTGACCTTTCTGTTATCGTCGGCATGAGGCGATTGCGGCCCCAATTGTCGCTTTGGGGCCCAGTGCCGGCCAGCTCGGGCTTATCTGCTTGCATGGCGCAGTCGCTGGTGTAGCATGATGTAAGCGAACCAGTGCCGGTCAGGTGGTCATGTACTGCTGTGGTGATTGAATGCTCTGGTGTAGCGTGGTGACCGAAGCTACGACTGCCAGCTTGTTGTGCGCTGCTCGGGAAACTCATCTTCTCGGTGATCGAAGCTGCTGCTGTTGTCGATGCTGGAATGGCGGAATGAGGCGACTGTCGTTTGAGATGTGGACCGCCCGAGCTCCACGAAAGGCACTCTCGTACTGTACTGTACTTGCGTCCGCTATTCGTCCGCTTGGCCGCTGGTCCACTGAGTGTGGTGGCAAGTTGCGAGTTGGGTGGCGCTAGCCTCGCACGAAAGTCACTGTCGCGGAGACGTCGCATCAGTATTTAGATTACATGAAATGTACTACTACAGTATAAGTACATTTAGTACCGGTAGTAATACATGAGCATGTTTGCTGAATCACTGTACTTGCGAGGAAAGCAGCGCGACGCCTGCACCGGCAGTCAAACACTGAAGGAGATAGTCAGCATAAAAATTTGAATGTTGATGCGGTGGCGCAGTCAGCTCGGGTTCTCGCCTGCCATCCTCTGTTATGTACATGTATTATTAAAACAGAGCCGTGGAATTCCTTTGATACCGTCTGTTTTGCTACCGCCACCGGACGACAGGTTTAAGGTGACTCAGGCGCCTCAACTGTACAATGCAGCATGCGAACCGAAGAGCGATCTCAACAGCAGAATACATGTTCTCTCTCACAATATTAATGATACCAATGCAAGCTCTCAGCTTGTATTGATAGCGCTAATACTACATGTATTCTGCCGTTGAGATCGTATCACCCTGTGTATCTACTCGTCCACCCCAGCCTTTTAAAACCGGCAGGTATATATTAAGTTTGGAAGGTAACTCCACTGGGCGGACGCATTGCAACATGACGTCATCAAGACTAAATTTGCAAGTCCAAGCCTTCAATCTCGTTACATTTGCCGAGATTTCCGCTTCGAATAGAGCGCCCTCCATTCCGCATTTTGCACCGCCATGCCGACGCAGCGCTACATTGCCCTGCAAATGCTACAGGACCGCACGTTGTGGGAGCTTGGCGGTCCTCGCTCTCGTCGCGCCTCCACCGCCGAGCTGCGACGACGCGGCTCCACCAACGACGTATCCCCTCTGCATCACAGCGCTCGCTCAGCGAGCACCCATCGATCCAAAGGGAAGTTGGTGGAGAGCACCAGTGACTTATCACTGCTTCTGGCGTACGTCGGAGCCCATGGCCTAGTAGACGAAGACGCAGAACAAATAGACGCTACTGTTGGTAACAAGTCGCTTCCAGATGATGAAGAAGTTGAAATAGTGGAGGAAGTGCAAGTAGAAAAAGAAAAGACCAGTTGGCAGCTCTCCAAGGAAATTATGTTCATGGTCTCGGCCTTCGTCGTGCTCTTCACGTCTGGTGGGCTCATTTTAGGGTGCGCTTTGCTGCAAATATTTGCACAATCAGAACGCTTCTAACTGATACTTCTGAGTTGGCGGCAGGTTTGGTCCCGTCTACTCGACATTGGTGAGGGAGAAGCAATGGGCAGAGCTGTGCACCCCAGAAGAACGAGAAAATAATGACGGTGTGCTGTGCGCGGCACAGGAAGTTCGACTGCAGTTCGTCTTCTCGACCGGATTCCTGTGTCTCAGTGCAGCCAACGCCTTTTTTGGCGTGTTTCTTGACGTGGTGGGGCCTCGGATCACCATCATGTTAGGACTCACGCTATCGGCGTTGGGGAACTTCGCTCTGACCTTTGGTGATTCGCATACTGGCACTGGTGCGTGGATCATCGCGGGGTATTCAATGGTGGGGGCGGGAGGAATGGGTGCGTACTTGGCAGCCTTCCAGATCTTGCAGCTGTATGAAGTTCAGGGGGTTGTATGCAGTACTCTGTCCAGCTTATTCAACTGTTCGGGGTATGTGTATATGCTGCTGGGGGTACATGGCATCACGCGGACGACGTTCTTCTGGGTATACGGGTAAGATTGCGAGTGTTGTTCTTTCAGTGATGGTTTCGGTGGTGTTATTTATTCGCTTATGTGTTTGAGACAGCATTTTAGTGAGTGTGTGCGCCTGTATCTGCTTCCTACTGTTTCCGACCAACAGCATCACGAAGCCAAGCAGTTTTCTTGCTGTTCCTCTTTGTCGCTTGGAAATGCCCCGCATCAACGTACGCCACCTGGTCGACAATACTACTGACTATGTATATTGCTGACGATATCGAGATGCTGGTTGTTCGTGCAGGCTCCTATTGGTCTAGTGGACGGCATGCGAGAGGAGCTCAAGCGGCCAGACTTGTGGTTCTTTGCGCTTCTATTCGGCTGGGTTTCACTCATCTTTGCGTTCGCGGGTGGTGCGATCCCGAGCTTGCTGGTCGACCTGGCTGGTGATGATACCAGTGCCGCGTCACTGTACACGAATATCCTATACCCCGTCCTTGTGAACGGCACCTTCTGGTATTCCCCAGTTGTCGGGTACGTGATCGATCACTACGGCTTCAAAGTGATCTTCCTGGCCTGCATCGCTCTGGTACAACTCTTCATCGCTCTCCTACTAGTACCGTCACTTCGAGTCCAACTCGCAATGTTCGTCGTCTACGCGATGGCCCAGACGTGTCTATATGCTCTGCAGTTCGCCTACATCAGTAAGTGGGCGGACGACCTGATTCGCTCTATGTTTTACTGTGCCTTACGGTTATGTATTGTTGCTTCATACAGTCATGTGCTTCCCTGCTGAGCTGTACGGCACACTGCAAGCATTTCTCGCCACAGTCTCATTCTCCTTTGGGCTGCTGAATTACGTCATTAATCCGTGGACTCAAGTGTATTTCGACGGCAACTACACTGTTGCGCTGCTTTTTCTGGGGCTACCAACAATGTTATTATATGGATTCATGCATGTGATACAAGGATGCGAACACCACACCGTCTCGCAAAAGACAAGGGATGAGGCATCAACAAAAGATACACCTGCTGAAGAGAGCACCAGGCTCTTATAGACAGGTACAGCCGTCGAATGTACGCTAAGACTTTCGTGTTAACCATTCCTACCACACTAGTCTTCAACAAAGTCCTCGCTGTAGTCAACAGGGCGCGCACTCTCTTCTCTCTCGTCTGAATACGCGGTCGACATACCGTTTGAAGACTCTGAATCGAGCAGCAGATCGTCACCACTGTTCGCACAGCCAGGTGGGATGTCATTGCGCGTTGTCGGGTTCTCTGGTGTTTCTGTGTGAGCTGGGCTATCGACGACTGGCACTACCGGAAACAACTTGTTGACAAACGCCACGAAGTCTGATTTATCCCAGCATCCATCTCCATCCAAGTCAAAAGCAACCAGCAAAACTCGAGTCTCGTACTCGGATAAGGCCAAGCCGAACGTCACAAACCCTCGACGCACCTCACGCACCGCGAGACTGCCGTTGTTATCCACATCGAAACGCCTGAACAAGTTGACGCCAAAGTTTGCGCCACTGGACTGTTGCTGTTCACCTTGCCAGCATCTGATAACGAGACGTAGAAGCTCTTCAAGATCGCGAGGTGGAAATGCCCACGCGCACAATTCGCTGGTCGTGATCCATCCACTGCTGTCGTTGTCAAGACTCCCCACCACCCGATCAAGTGTCTGCATGGAGACTGAACTAGAGCCACCCAGTTTCGCACGTAACGAGGTCTTGAACTCAGCCACGCGTACTCTCATCTGGTCTGCTTCTCCTTGGCGAGTTGTGGCAGCTTGAATAGCGCCTGGTAGTTCACTGAACCAGCGCACCAGTCGCTCCGGGTCACTGCTCTCCGATTCCCTCAGGGCTGTCCGCATGGCTTCGATCACTGCGGGATCATTGTCTAGATCGTTAGCAAACGCCAGCCATTCTTTCAAAGTCGTGACACCATTTCCATTCAAGTCCACAAGTCTCATCATTTCCTGCGCCACCACAGCTGTCGCGTTCAGTGGCAAGGTTGAAAGTCCACACAACAGGATTAGAGCCTCTTCTCCAATGATAGACAAGAGATCCTGACTGTGAAGGAACTCTTGCAACTCGTCTTGGTTGATTTTGCCGCTGTTGTCGCGGTCGATCTGCCGGAATAAAGCCGTCAAGCTGGACGTCTTGGTCTCGCCCGTCGGTGATGCAGCGCTCGGAGCGAGTGTTTCCAGTAGAGCTCGGAATGCCTTGGCCTTTGCAGTGGCTAACTGGAGACTCGTAGCCCGCCCGGATTCTGCCAGTAAATCGTCATCAGGAGCTGGTTCGGAGCGTATTCGCAGCCACATGAGCAGCTCGTCGAATGAGATGGAGCGGTCGCCATTGCAATCTAGTCTTACAACGAGTCGTGCAAGCTGAGCAGCTGTGGCGTCAAGACGCAGACGATTCAGCACACGCATGAAGTCGCGACTCGAGCAACTCTGCTCATTCTGACGCTTGTAGGCTGCTCGAAACACCAGACGTACAGCGGCTTCAATGCTATCAGTATGAGCTTGAGCTTCTCGAACACGATTCATGATTGTTTCTCGAATTCGGCGTCCCAGAAGACCAAGTTCGTCTGCATCAGTAGACGACGAGTGGGCCAAGACGAAGGAGATAAACTCAGCGACGCCCACTTTATCACTGTCACGCTCTCCGACAAACAGCTCACGCAACAGCAAGATCTTGTCGCTACTGAGCTGGAGGTTGAAGGACGACATACACACCACCAGCTCGTCCACATCCAGTTGTCCATTTCGATCCGCGTCGAAGCGAGAGAAAACGTGCGACAAGGTCTCTCGGAACACCTTGTAGTCGCTCGGAGACTTGCCCTGTGCAGCCAAGAAGCTCGTGGCGGACTCGTAAACGGCTGCTCTGAACGCCCGTACAGCCGTGACCAGGTCTTCTTCGTTGACAGAGTTGTCTTCACGCGTGTCTGGAGAATCGACTGACGCCTTGCTTTCTTCGATATTCTTATCGATGGGGTGATCAAGCTCCGTGTCAGCAGGAGTGGTAGCAGGCAACTCTGTCACTTGAGACGTCAACTCGAAGCCTGTCATGAACTGCTCGAAGGTCACGAGAAGAGGCTTCGACGGTACCCCACACTTGGTGCGGATCAACGTGATCAGCCTGCACTCGCAAGAAAAGATACGCGTTAGCTTACCCAGTTCTTACCCATTTTTTGGGACCGTGACTTACGCTCGGGTGATCTTGCGGTCCAGTCGCACGCCAAAGCTTCGAGCTCCAAGTCTTAACTCAGCGCGATCGATAACGTCGTCTTTCCGGAGATCAATTTCCTCAAACAGCGCGTGGTAGGCGACTCCCTTGGATTTATGAGCCACCACAAACACCCGATGGAGTTTCCGCCAAGTGGCGACAAGCGCGTCAACGACCTGCTTCGAAGGCGATGCGGATGGTGAGGGGCCGTCGTCCGCTTCGTTGCTTTGGATAGACTCTGGAGGGGACAAGGCACGTGCTGCGGCTTCTTCACGTTGCCTCTTCATCTCAGCTATATACTCGCGCGTCTCCTGTTCGCTCTTAGCCACCAACAGTATCTCGTTCTCTTGTTTCCGAGCTTCCAGTCGACGTGGATACTCCTTCGCGTGCATGTTCCGCTTCCACGCAGCCTGTAAAATTATTGCCGCTCGCTCCTTCTCAGCACAGCGTTGAGCGTGTAGAACGCTCTTCACATCGCGGAAGAACGCTTGGATCCGTTTTGCGGCGCGCTGCTTCCGATTCTCAGCAAACTTGGAGAAGAGAGCGTCGTACTCTTCTCGTTGTTGTCGTTCCAAGACGCGCTGGATGATTCCTTGCTTCTCTTGTTCGATACGCTGCGCTTTGGAGATTTCCTTTTCCATGCGACGCTCACGTTCGCGTTCCTCCCACGTCTTGAGGAAAGTTGGCTTCTTTGACGTAATCGAGTCTGTGGGGGAAAGCGGTGGACTTTCTATAGGAGGCTTGACACAGGGAGAGTCGGGCTGATCACTGGGTGCTTTTGCGTTTCCATTCTTCTCCAGAACACGCTGGTACGTCGTGATTAGCAGGTCCAAGTCGTCGTGCTCTTTTTGCAGACGTCTTCGTTGAGCTCTCTACGAAGAAACACACGTCAGTCAAGAGCGTAAACAAAGGAAAGGGAGACATGGGCGTACCAACACTTTGTTCTTCCTTTTCAATCGAGATTTAGTACTGCCCAAAGTGCGAGAGTCCTCGCTGTATCCTTCAAGCCGCTGAGATAAAGTCTCCACGCAATGATCGAGATATTGGGCCGAGAACTGACACATTTTAAATGCTGCGAGGTGGTCTTCGTGGATCTGTAGACCTTCGTCTTGGTCCAGCTCTAGTTCGAGGTCACTATGCAACACAAGCTCTCGAAAGTGCGCTAGAAGCTCAACATCTGACTGTTTAAAGCCAACGTAAGCAAGAATCCTTGCCTCTTGTTGTAGAGTTCACGTACATGAAAGAAGAGACGTCTGGTGCTGGTGGAGGCTAGCAATGCCCAGTCTACGGCGAGAAATGGCTGTGTGAAAGCGAACGCAGGGTCGGCAACACTCTTTTGGCTGTCGTCTTCTTGTTTATCACTGTTTCTCTTGTTGATCGTCTCACGATTGTGAAAAACTTTGGGATTCGAAGTGAAGACGCATTCAATTTCAAGACTCAAGTGCGATGCCAGCCCGTTAGTTTCTGAAGATTGTAGTGGGAACCATAAAGCACCGGTTATTGGGGAATCGTGAGCCTTGTCATCATTTGTTGCAACTTTACATTGTTCGTGTAGCTGGCGCAAAGATACCGACGCGCTACCGAGGAACATGTCGACTCCGTTGTCAAATCGATTCCACAGCTGCAGTTCGACCCAATCTACCGTCGCATTAACATTAAAAACTTCACCGCTGCCATTGTCAGTCCACCTCACAGTGTACTGCCCGTTCCGCTCTCGATGTCGACGGCAGATCACATCGTCGTCTGCGTCTCGACTCGCCACCAAAATGGTTCGCGATCTCTTGTCCCCGTTCACTTGTCTGGGGTCACTGTAAAGAAGGCGGACGAATGGCTGCAAGTGAGAATTCGCTAGTCCTGTGGCGGCCAATGCTCGCACTTGTGTCGCAGTCCAGGCCTCCTGTCTAGATTCCTTCATGACTGTCCGAGATACTGCTGAACGGAATAACCTATACTGTATGTTAAGTTTTTTTTTGCAGCAGGTCCAGATTTTTTTCGGGGATTTGATTGGCGGAACACATTTTTCTCGTTCTGTACAAAAATCAATGCAGGTCGAGGCTGCAGCAGCAAGTAGAATATTTTTTTTGGCGGCCGTCCGCCCTCTTAGCACGGAGATCTCTTGTGTCGTTCACGCACGACCTGCATGGTGATATCTCAACAATATCTGATGCCGTCGAATAATCCTGCAGACTCAGAGAGTCATAAGGTAGCCACTTGAGCCGTATAGGGCGCTAATCTGGTGAAGATGGGCACGTGCAGCCGACTGTAACTTCTGCACAGACCATCGCTGGACATATTATTCATGCGTGCTGTTGGAGAGGCTGTAAGAAGGTTCCAAAGGACTAACTAAGGTGGAGACGTGCTCCGTGTATGCAGTAAAAAGAGCTGCAAACGGGCAGTTCACGCTGCTTGTGCTGCAGTGTTTCTATCTACATTTGAGGCAAGCGACACATTCAGCCAAACAGCTTGTGGAAAGCGCTGCTAGAACGCGATAATGAGCCCCCCCCCCCTCCCCAACGTCGACGCAGTCGAAGAAGCGAGTCCCTTAGTACAACGACGGACTGCTAGCTCAATCAGCGTACTTATCGAGTGGCTCACGGATGGCAATAATAACAACCGCTACAGAGGCGGAGACGGCAAGAAAGTTGAGTAAAACTATCAAATGTAGGCGCACTCCTCCCCGAAACGGCTTCCCTCCTTTTGTCTTGATCACAGGGTCGGCCTTCACGAGAGATACAAGCCGGAAAAACTAGGAGCGTCGAAGCCGAAAGTACTTGAGAAACTCCGTGTCAATCGTGTGCTCACGATTGTAAAGCAACTTCATCCATTTAGCTTTCTGGCTTCGATACTGTGAAGAGCGTGCTGTATCTTGCAGCTTACACATGCTCGTACTGTAGCAGCCAAAACTCGTCCAGCTCGTCTTCTCCTGAGTCTTTGTCACTGAGTATATCTCTATTGATCGCAGCGGCTTCACGCGCAGCCATGGTCTTTCTAAGCTGACGCAGCTTACGCTGCTTAGCTGACAGCCTCGGCATCTTAAACTTGCTAAGGTCTCACAGCAGAGAGATGCCATAAAATAAATTGACTTGCTGCTGTAGTTGCAAAAAACACAAAATTGGGTAGTCAATTATGCTGCGTATGATTGGTAAAAAACAATTGCTCGAAGCGTCGGCGGAAAAAAAAGCGACTTGCTGCTGCACAATTAAGAAATTATATTATAACTGCTCTATCTTCTTTATATTGTGAGTTCTACTCCAAATTTCGGATGGACGATTGATCGTCGAGCGTGAATCAATCGCGCAAGCGCTTTTGATTTTTATTTACCTTGCGGAAAGTGATCTTACCAAACGGAAATATGGATGAACAACCGGGGCTCTTTGGGCGAGTTGAGGCCAAGATGAAGCGTGAGGCATCGCTTCGCTCGGCGGGCTGGTTCCAATTAATTAGGCCACCTCGATACGCTCGACGAGAATAAAAGTATCACTTTTATTTAAATATTTGGTAAACAGACCATCTTCCGTCGTAGCAGGTTTCTCTGCTAAACTAGTAATGTTCTGTTGAGCCGTAACTCGAGATACCGCAACGTAAAAATGTCCGTGTGAAAATACCGTCTCCGGGAGGTAAAGACCCAGTATCTGTATAAACTGGCCTTAAGACTTGTTGATTTTCATCGCAAATGCCACCTGAACAGGATACTCTTTTCTCCGCAGTTCGAATGGGAATCCTGAGTTCTTGCTAATCAATTCTTGGTATCAAGAATGTCTTATCCTCGAAGCTCCCATGATGACAGCCTCCATGCAGTTTCTTTCTAAAGATACTACGCGCAATCGTGTTCCGTTGCAGAGCCCTTCCTTTGTGTTAATGTTTTGAATCGGCATCACTGGCGTACCGACCTTTAGGCGAAGCTTGTATGGAGGCATACCGCTGAGTGAAATTGTGCTCAGAAATTCAGGAGGGTAAAGATCGCTGCGTTCTTGCCGCTCAAGCTCGTCATCTCCGTCTAGGATAATCACAGAGCGGGACTCCTGCGCATCACCGGGCAGCTTGCCAAATATCAAATCGTTAATCGGAATTTTTGGGTGTGATAATTATCCGATCTGCGACGAAATTGTCAGGTTAGTGTCCCTCGTTAAAATCCGCGTAGACAGTATCGATTAATCTCGAAAGTCTTGACAATCGGCCGACTTGTTCGTTGATCTGTTCACCCTCGTCGTCGCTATGCGGGGCACGATTCACTAACATGTCCTGTGGAATCTTGACGAAATCCTTGTCTAGCTCGGGAGACGTGTCGTGTCTGCCATCTCCAATGCGCAGTAGCTAATCCGCAAACGGTTGCACCTCTTCCGCTGTAAGGTCATTCTGTGCGGTATGAGCTATCATGTTCATAGTAAGACGTAAGCACTCGAAATGCCTCCATAATGCTGATTTCATCAACGAAGCTGCTTTAACCTCAGCAGAGCTCGCGCAATAATTTACGGGAAGTGTCTGGTAGAAATTTCCCGATAGAAGCATCGTCACGCTACCGAAGGGCTTATCATTCTTGAGCAAATCTCAAAGCGTGCGATCTACAGCTTCATATTGGAAGCGGTATTATAGGCGCCTCATCCCAAACAATAAGGCTTGTTCTCTTCAGCAGCGCAGCTTCGGAAGAGCGGACACCAAAGTTGCACGTAGAACTTATATCGGATTCCAACGGGAGTCAGAACGTCGAATGGGCCGTGCGACCACCGCTTAGAAGTTGCGCTGCTATCCCGCTTCCGACAACAGCGAGAGCGATACGTCCGGAGCGACGAACAGTAGCAAGCAAAGTCTCAAGGAGAAAGGACTTCCCAGCTCCTCCAGGTCCGTCCACGAAGAGAAGCTCCCCAGATAGATGGGGCACCGACGAATCAGATCGTTCTGGAGATACAGCCGCCATCACTTGTCGAAAACGATCTTCTGGTCAACATTCAGGGATGCCGATTCTCGGAGCGGCGCTCTAGGTCATCAGCTTCGTATGAAGTTTCGATGGCGATTAGCTGATTTGCGTTTCTATCAGCGACGTCTTCTGCGATTTCGACGTCTACTGCGATTTCGACATCTCCAAAGTCTGAGAATGGGGGAGACTCACAATAGGTCTGTAACGACTGTCCGTTTGATCTCACGTGAGAGTTCACATTCTGCAGAGGTTAAAAAAAACACGGCGATAAATGCGGCTGTTCTCATCCTCTGAGGCAGGATAGAGGATAATGTCAGGAACGCGGTTTTCTTCTAGAGATCGTTGGTTATGCACACGTATCTCCTCTCGAAAATAGTCTTTGATCATTGCAGACAAATGGGTAGACCATAATTCCGAAGGCGAAGAAGGGTCGCAGTAGATCAACAGAACTGCGAACAGCTGTCTCAGTTGATCTACCGTCTGAATTAGAGTAGCCTTGCTGGGTCAGCTGTAGTTTTCTTCGTCGGATTCAAGAAGACCCATGGCCAGGGCAGCAGCTTTGTATGATTTGAGCACCTCTCCGTCGATCGTTCGTAAATCTCCGAAAGAACGAGGTCCTCGTCGATAGCATAATAACAGGCGAATGTAATATCGGTCTGTATCCCGTGGAGAAACCGAGATCAACCGACCGATGGCCTTGTCTCACCTAACACGCGAGGTTTCCATCGGTAACGCGAACCAAACTTCCCCCACACAAAGTGGGGGACAGGCATTCCATGGTAAAGAAGACCGCGGGCCATATCACTTTCTGGAGAGTCTCCGTCACACAGCTCGAAAAAGGCCGTCATCATGGTATACGGGTTCTGCTGCAAAACGTCTTCAATTCTGGCATCAGTAGGGGTACACTACCAAATGTCCGCCGTCATCATGCACAGGTAGACTGTGTACATGATGGGATTTTTTTGCATGGTGCGGACAACCGTTTTTGTAGTCTGTCGATAGTAGCGTACGCAGCCTTAGGCTCCCGTAAAAGATAGTCGAGCTCCTCTTCAAGGCTACGACTGGTCAAAGCCATGTTATTTATAGTGTCCAATCGAATGGCTGCAGGGGTGCGAGGAATCTTAAAAGGGCGATCATTGCCATCGGAGTTGGAGTTGTAACCGCGTCGTTTGACAGTCATGGTATTAAAAGGCAATTTGTAAAGTGACAGGTTCGATTTAAGAACTAGAGTGATCAGCAATAGTTAAAATAAAAGCACAGTGAGCTATAATCAACGCTCTGTAACAATGAGTAATGCCGAAGATTGTGAGTGTTGTAAAGCAATTTCCAGTCAGTTAAGCACGGGATCTGCCGGTAGCCACATAAGTTAGTCACCAAATTGGTCGTATTTTTGGTCGTAAAAACAAAAAGAGGTCGTAATATCTGTATTTTTGAAAGAGCCGATAAGAGCCACAGCAAATATTAACGTAAAAAGCCAAAACGGTGCGAGCGTAAAGTAATAATTCCTATCAATGTAGCGTGGAATCTGCGTGGGGTCAACAATGGTCACATACGTTTGGCGTCATATTTTTATTGTTGTAAATACGAAAAGAGGTCGTACGACATGTATTTTTCAAAGAGCCGTTTAGAGCCGCAACACATTTTAAGTAGGAAATTCGAAATGGCAAGCTTGTGAAAAAAATCCACAATAGTAAATTGTGTGCAAAAGAGAGTAATTTTATAGAGAGGGTTTTTATGAAAGTAAATGAAACGAGCCACAAAGATCTCAAAGAAGTCACACAGTACCGATCGATATCGTACTGGAGATGGTACCATTGAAGCGGTCGTAATCATCGATATGCTGATGCGCGCACAGCCATCTGTGTGTGTTAAAGCACCCACAGCCCTCTAATAGTGAGGGTTCTGCACAGAAGTGACATCGTCGCTAAGTGGCTGAAATCAATATTAGCCAATGCGTAGTCCGGAAAGACATGGCATTGACACAGCTGGGTTCTGTGTGCGACGTCGTCGACTTCAACGGGGTATAATTTCTACTACTGTAGTATTAAAAGGCCCTTTTTATAGCGAAATAGCCAGTAGCTAGCTTCAAATAAAGCCGTGGCTCACGAATTCAGTGTAAAGATCCAGTTTTGAGCACTTCGTTAGAAACCAACGCGTTTTGCCTTCGTTCGGATAAAGAGCGTACGTGCTTCGACTTTCGCGTTTTGCTGGTGATCAAGTTTAAATATCGAGAGAGCGTTTTTTCTTGCCGTAAGATTGGTTCGTATGGTGCTATTACTTGGATGTTCATGATGATGTTGGGATATAAAGAACAACTATTAGACGAACAATCCATTACAAGGTAAGCACGAAGTCGATACGAAGTGTTTCCTGCTGCTTGTCAATGCGTAGGATGTGTGTTTGATGCCGCGCGGGAGAATAGTAGGTGCTACGGCTATCATTCTTGAACCGGCGTTTACAAAAACAGACAAATCAGCACTTCGGTCACTCTGAATAAGAGCCCTGGATGGTGGTTGCAATTTAAAATAATTTTTGCTTGAGTATTTGTCGCATGGTCAATGCACTTCAGAGATAATTACCTGATGTGTCTGGAAATGCACTCAGGAGATTGAAAAAATCCTATGTTTTCTAACTGTGGCAGCAGACACTTTAAACTAAAAAGGCGAATTAAAGTGGCTGACTACGTGAATTAACACTGTTTTTGTTTTCCCGAATTCATCCTTCAAAATTTATTCAAAACTGACTTAGTCCAATTTTTACCTCCCCCTCAACTGTGAAATAAATGTCAGAGAATGGCAGCAAATACTGACACATCTCCTTATGCTGGAGATAGCGTAAAGCATAAGTTACTTCGTTTGCAAGTACCTGTGTACGTAGCCAGCAAAACAAACGGGTGCAGCATTTAAGCAAACAAAAAGCATTAATTCGCCTTTGATAAGGTGTGGAAGCTCAGCAATAATTACACTAACAACTTGCCCAGTTTTTGCGTGTCAAGGGCTACACACCCGTGGCTTCTCTGGACGATGCGACGCTCATGATGGTGGTCTCTCGCTCCTTCGAGACAAG